TATTTCTTTGGTTTAAAGGTGCATTCATATTAAGAGATAACTTAAAGAAGATGAAGGCTGAAGAAGGGAGTAATGAATGATGAGATTAGGATCAAGGGGTCCATTTTAGGTGGAGTGGTCAGGCAAGGCCTTTCTGAAGAGGTAATATTGGATCAGAGGTGGGAATGAAGTGACAGAGCCAGCTATTCAAAGAGCTGGAGAAATGGCAGAGGGAGTAGCATGAGTAAGGCCCTGAGGTAGTAATGAGCTTGCTGTTGAGCAAAGCAGCAGCGGGGAGTGGAGAGCAGATGGGGGATGGTAGGAGGTTGTCAGAGATGGGAGGAGGCAGACCACTCACACTGGCTTCTATAAGGACTTGGGTTTTTTCTCGGTGGGTCCAGAAGCCACTGAAAGGTTTTCATGTGAGCAGTAGTGATCGAGTTTAACAGTCAAAAGCTCTCTCGGGCTGCTAAGTGGAGAATAAACTCCTGCATGGTTAAGTATGAAGGTGAGGGGATAAACTATTAGGTTTTTTCCACAGGCCAGGTAAAAGATAATGAGATAGTAAAATTTGAGTCAATTAGATTAACTGATGAATGCAAGTTGTACGGGCAAAGAGAAAGAAACAATGACTTCTGTGTGTGCATTTTTTTTTTCCCTAAGCAGTAGGTAAATGGTGATTCCATTTCTTTAGTGGGAAAGACTGAAGAAGATATTTTATAAATGTCTGAGGAACCTAGCAGATATCTAAGTGGACTTAGTGAGTAGGGAGTTAGATATGTAAGTCAGAATCTTGAGGGAAACATTGCTAGTAGAGTTATTAACTTGGGATTTACCAGCTCATATAAGAATTCCAGTGAATGGATCAGATCACCCAGAGTCACGGTTTCCAAAGGGGGATTCCTCCAACCCCTCAGAGGGTACACGAATCCCTTAGAATACAGAAAGTGTCAGAATATCATTTTGTATTTATTCTTATATTTCATTAGTATTATATGGTTTGACACATATGCCCTGACTTGATCCATATTAGTCATTTCTGTATCAGACTGCACTTAGGATGTCCTGAGGTAACTGCGGGAATTATGCAATAAAGAACTGTGATGAGCAAAGCCCCAGTCTGTTTTTTTTTCTTTTATCATAATGTGACACACTATAGTTTACTTGTATCTTTACAGATGAGTATACATGAGTATATATATGCTTATCTCTGAGAAAATGTGTCAGTTTCTATTTTCTCCCATTTACCTACTGCATGAGTTCTTAGCTACTATTTGGTAATATAATAACAGGTAAAAATTGGTGCTGAAACAGAGGCCATATTTTAAGGTAAACTTATTGGCATTTTAACTTTAATCTTCTGTGACAGGCCAGAGTATAGGAGTAAATTTTGGTATCTTTTAAGCCATCCCATATAATAAGCTGAATGCTTTACTTACATGAGACTTTAAACGTATCTATATCAGGTG